AATAGAGAAATTGTATCACAAATAAGTTGAAACCAAGTCACTGAGAAAAAAAAAAAAAAGAGTTGAAAACTTTGGAGTTTCTGTTCCCTTTGTTAACATCTAACTTGATGCCAGAATGTAATTGGCACTGGGAAGAAAAATATCACTGCTAAGGATTCAGGCCACCTACCTCTTCAGTTCAGGTATGAAAACTTACAATGCTCATCTCCAAACTTCCCTCCAAGCAGTACTCCACTAACACTGTGGAATATTACATTTAACATTCCTGATATTTCAAACAAAAGTCAAGCATTATTTTTTGATAGTATCAATCTTTTTCAGATCTTGCTACTATAGCAAAAAGAAGCAGATGCAAAACAATTTTAAAAATCCAGTAGTGAGCAAGGATGATTATTGGCATCCTCACAGTGCATCCTGAATTTTGGGAATCACATCAGATTAAAAAATCTTAAATGACAACACAGTTATGGCTGTCATAACTGTGTTGTCATTTGTCATACAAAGAAAGCAGCTGAATGTGCAAGAAACTTCAGTGCCTGTCTCCTCCTCCTGCACATTTCCCTTGTTGCACTGAAGATACTCTGGTTATCAGGTAACTAAAACTAATGTCATGAGAAATGTTAGTTTTCCAAAAACTGTTTCCAAAACACCATCCATGTCCTCATATCAGAGTACCCCAGTGAATTACAATGTCTGGAGCCAACTTAAACTTCATAACACAAGTTAGAAACAACCTGCTCAACAGGACATCTATGGGAATGTCAAGAAAATATATTAAAGGGGACTCTTCTAGTCCTAAACTGAGGATGTAACAATATTAGTGTTGTTTCCACTAATTAGTTATGTATTTAGTATAATAAGGACTTACCTACATGAGGACAAATCAGGAGATAATCTGAATTAACTAAGTATATGGACCCAGAAACAAGTTACTTCAAAGCAACTAGGGTGTAAACCTATACCACAAACTACTTCATAGTAGTGTACATACATCTGTACAGGCCAACAAGGTTCTTTGGGTAGATGTGATATCTTTTATTAGATCAACTAAATAGTTGGAAAAATTGTTGTTTTCAAGCTTCCAGGCACAAACACCTTTCTTCAGGCATATAGCTAGGGACAGACATTCAAAAAGCCTAAGACTGAATCGATTGAATCTTTGCAGGTTAGTCTAACCTGGCTAGGCTGAACTGGTTTGTAACCATACAGACATTCCCTCTGGACTGAGAAAATGTAGGGACATGCATGCAGTAGCTCAGGCAGGAAGCTGGGGGTGCTAGAGCAGCCCTCTCTCTCTTCCAGTGCTGAGCTGAGAGGTGGTGTGGCCAGGCCCCAACAGGATGCTCTGATTAGGGAGGGGTGCCCCCCCCCCCCAATTCTCCTGACCAGCCCAGCAGGGAATTGATAACAGAGCATTTATTAGCCCATCAAGAAAAGCCTCTCTCATTCAAGGTCTTCTTTAACAAACTTTTTCCATGGAAGGAACAGAGGAACATAACCAATCTGTTGATTAGCTCCAAAAAGCCCTGGCCTGTCTGCCTTACACAGACACCTCACATCAGCTAGCATACCACATGCTGGCTACAGTCTGGCAGTGGGAGATGGGAGGGGGAAATTCCTGCTTGAGCAGGGAGTGGTTGGGGAAGGTGGGGGGCATAGGGAAGCCAGGCAGACCCTGCTGTGCCTACAGCCTCTACTGGAGCTCCAGCCAGGGAGCAGAGGGGCAGGGCCAGTCCTCCTGTGGAGCAGAGAGCCCCACCCAGTGCTGCAAAGCATCGGGGATGCTGAAGGACTCTAGTTTAAGTTAAACCAAGAAGAGGTCTGGGACAGACATTGCATAAACCAGTTTGACCCAAATCAGTTAAGTCTGATACTACATTCAACCAGATTCATCTCAACCCGGTTTCAGTTATTTTCAAAGTGGTTCATGTGCACTGAATGTCTGCTCTGTTACAGGTTTAAACCAGTTTCTGATCACTTAAACTGGTTTATGTGTAATGTCTGTCCCTAGCCATAGAGTGTCTGCTGTGTATAGGCCTTAATTTGGTTTATTCCAGTTCCTTTCAAATGAATTATTAAAAGCATACTAGTTATTATTAATCCAGATCTATCTGCACCTGTGGAAGGTGAAGTAGGGGTAAAGTTTGGTCCCCAAAAACATTGGTAGTGCTTTGTTTAATAAACCTGTTCCTTAACCACGAAGTGACAGAAGGTAGAAGCTTCTACCACAAAATTCTCGACCTCCACCAGATGTCACTGTAGCATTGTTGTAAATAGTATATTGGAATAAAACTGTAATGTTGGGGACTGACCAAGTAGAATTAATAAAAATCCTAATTCCACATAACATACATCAGTAGAAGCATAATATTATCCAAAAAACAATCAGCCAAAGGTAAGTTTAATAAAGAAGCATCAGAAATAGCACTGCCAAGCAATGAAAGCAATCCCAAAGACAGTTAATCAGCAAGTTAAAATAGGATCAGTGTATTCTGGATCATTAATTTAAGTTTACAAAATGGCAGTCAACTTTTGCAGGTGGAAATAGACTTCAACTTCCAAACAAAAATATTAAATTTACTTTTGGAACTTTATGTTAATACATTCACATACATATACACTCACACATACATTTTCATACTATTAAGCAAGACAGGTAGTATCATCACTTGTGGAAACTTCATGGTAATCCAAGTTTGTTCAGAACAATAGTAATTTAAGAAAATAAATGGTAGGCACCATTCAACCAGTGTTTCATACTGAAACAGAGTAGGAAGATGGAATCCTCTTGTATACATATTAGTACCAACATCTCAGATGTATTTAATACCCTGAGGCAAAACTCTGGAAGCATCTGGTCTCAGTGAGGTTAACACCAGAGCAGGATGAGAGCTATTTTGCCTAAAGGGCAGTGCTGGCACAGGGACAAATAGGCATAAATACACTATGAATACATTCTAACCATCAAAGAAGTGAAGTTTTGAAAAGGCTTCCTATAGAAGTGGGGGCAAAAATCCTTAACTGGCTTTGAGATGGAATTTTGAAATGATGTGGTGACCCAGTAGGTCCCCTCCATCCTATTTTGTGTTCTTATGACTTAACTGCACAGTTCACAAGCCTTATTCTTTTCTACTCTGCACCCTGTGTAATCAATTGGTTTCAAAACAAATCCTAACCTCTATCAAACTGGAACAGGAACACTTCACAGAAATACTTTACACAGGAGAAGATCACTAAATGGGCAAGGCAATTTTCCTGCAGTTATCCCTGCAATATATCCAATTGGATAAGACCAGTAGTGCAGTTGACTACAAGCTAGAGTAGTAGCATCTCGCACAAAGTTATAACTAATCCTTGTATTCAACCAATACAGAACCTAGTTGAAACTTTCAAGGAAGTTTTATCTGTTATTTTTTAACTCAGCTAAAACTTTGGACACGTGAACAGAGAGGAAATGCTCAGGGCATAAACCAAAAGCTAGCTCCACTCTAGCAGCTGCACACAAATAAGCAGGCTCTGCATTTAAATGCATCAGAAACTATCAGGCCTTGCACTGAAAGATACTCATTTGAAAATCTGACAAATGTAGCCCTTATTCTTTCAGGGTTAAATGACACTATAGGGCCAAGGCCAAAATCACTGTTAAGGGCAGTGTCATGTGTGCAGTTCTTTAAAAAAAAAAAAAAAAAAAAAAAAAAAAATTCAGAGCAGGTTGACTTGCCAAAGTTAATCTGTTCACCTGTCCATGGTCATAATGTGAAAAAATCTCATGGGGGGGTCCTCTGAAGAATAGCTATTTGTACTTTAAATTCATACCGCTGCTTATTTCACAACAGCTTTTCTGTGTACACAAGCCCTTAACACAGAAAAAGGAATCACCCTTATACTAGTGATTTGACTGCATGCTAGTGTTCCATTTGAAGGTCAGTGTATATTGCTGTTTTAATGGGAAATACTTTTATCCCTTCAAAATGTTAGTAAAGATGCTCTAAAAATAAGAAAGCTGCCAACAGAGCTGATTAGACATGGGCAATACAATCCACTTTAAAAAAATAACAATTCAGTGAAGAAAATTATTTTATGAACTTCCCAGGGCATTGGAATATTTTTAATGGTGTCACATTCCCATAATAAGGGCCTTGTTCATTTTAGGCAGCTCCTGGAGCTCTTAAGCCCTGTATTGTCCACACACTAATACCTGAAACTAGTTTTAATGCATGCTTTAGGTGGCTTAAAAGTTAAGTCACTCCATGACCGGTTTCTCTCTGATCTGTGTTACTCAGCTTGTGTTGCATTAATGTGTGGCCACTCCCCATAGGTGAGTTATCCAAATTGCAGTCGTCTAGCATCCCAGGATGCAGTGTCCCCTTCCCCACCCTCCTGTTCTGTATGGACAAACTTTCCACCTCCTGAACTCTACTCCCCAGGGGGAAGTTCTGGCACCAAACCAACTAACCCTCCAGCCCAGAGAACATGCCAGGATTCTGGGGACCTCTGATTTAACTTAAACCAGCAAGGGTTGTGGGACAGACATTGTATAAACCAGTTTGATCCAAATCAGTTAAGTCCGATACTATATTCAATCAGGTTTATCTCAAACCAGTTTCAGCCATTTTTAAACTGGTTTATGTGTACTGAACATCTGTTCTGTTACAGGTTTAAACCAGTTTCTGATCACTTAAACTGGTTTATATTTAACGTCTGTCCTTAGCCCTCATGGCAAGTCACAGCTGTGCAGGTGGGGGACAATCGGAGGTTTTTAGCCTTAAAGTGCAACTAACCTGGAGCAACATTTGAGCAGCTCAAAGTCCAACATGTAACAATGCCCTAAGCATGTACAAGATACTGTCAGTAATAAAATGAAGCAGTAGTATATTATGAAATAGCAAGCCATCTTGTTAAGCAGATATGACTCACTGCTAAAATTAGTTTTTGACTACTCTAAAGTCATGAGGATAGGAAGTAGAGGCTGTAAGTATGAAAAGGGTAATTTTTACAGGGAAGTCTGGCTGTTAAATTTGTCTCCAGATGTAATGCCTACTCCTAGACCTCGTCCTATCAGGTGGATGGCTAAATAAAAACTGCAACAAGTAGTCTGAATGTGCAAAACAAGTAGGCCCGTAGTTGCTCGGCAGAAGGCAAGGTTGAGTTTCACCTTATAGACAAAGTGAAATCAGAGATTCCCAAGCTTTTACAAGCAACAGCTATGATAGCATACAAAAGTGAGCCATTACTCATTACAGCTTATGAATCTTTGATTTAGGTAGACTACTCTGGTGTTTACCTTAGTATGTACTGACATACAGAGCAAGTTTCTCCTCCTCTTAGGATATTAAAATAATTTTCACAAGTGTATTTTATTTTCATTGACTGAAACCCATAATGTAAAACACATTAGGTTGATGTAAAATGGGCCTTAAACTGTTGTAGTATAAATGCATAAATTATCAAAATTCAATGGAGCAATCTCCTCTTCCCATTGTATCACTATAGTTATACCAGTGTGGATTTATTTACTGTAGAAAAAGGCTCACTCCTACAAGTTAATGTGATTACTGTGTAGATAAAAGTTGTTTACATTACAGGTCATCACCTTGGATGAAAGTCCAGAGTAATGCTTTAGCCCTCTTGTAGGGACCTGTTTAGATGCCAGGATACACAGTCTAATGTAAAAACTTGGGAGGAAGTGCAGAATTAGAATCTTTGCCAAAACTTCATGAAAATAGACTGCCAGCTGGGAAGCAGACTGAGGCCCAGGAAATGCAACCGACTCTTACCATAACAGCAGCTCTTACTCAAATACAAGTGAGAAGAATGAAACATCTCCATGCACGAGAGGCACCCTGTCAGCAGGAATTGTAACTCCTGGGATTTTAAGCCATTCTGACAGCCTAATTATTTCATTCAGAATGATTTTATTTTACTGGTAATTTTATACTGGAACAAGAAAGGGAACTCAAATATATTTAAGTTTGTTAATGATGATTGGGGTTTTTCTTCAGTCATTTAGAAATAACTGAACTATAGATGGACACGAGTTTTCTTAATGACAGTTTTGAAATTATTAGTTACCATTCATTCCAATGGGAAACTGCATTTCCTATGTGGAAAACTACATTAAGCTATTGAAGTAGCAGATGCACAGTTAACTGATTTTTTGTTGTTGTTTTGCTTGGTTGGTTTTTAGCTATATTTGACATTTCACATTTGTGGTCTAATCTACTGATTAGAATAATTTGTATAATTTCAATTCAGCAAAGCCTGGCTTAAGTACAGCCCTACAAGGCAGTCCCATTTGAAATTAATCGAGCAACACATGTTCAGTTTTCTGATATGAAAATATTAAAACCTTCTTGCATTACCTGGGACTAGCAAACACGAGAAAAATCAAACCAACATGACTGATCTTAATTTATCCCACCAACATCAATAAGCAAAGCCATTCATTAACTGTGAACAGCCACACAAGCCACAGACATTAAAAGGACAAAAATGGTGGTTGCCCAAATTCAAACAAACCTATAAAGAATAGCAGAACTCCTGTATAACAGGTTAAGTAGTTATAGAAATGAAGTGCCCATTCCACAAGCAAAGCACAAAAGAAAAAAAAAAAAAAGCTCCATAGGAAATTTTTGACAGGTAACATCAAAAAGCAGGAAACAGAGGTTGAAGATTTGTTGAATCAATATGCGCAGATGTATTTATATAAAAAATTAGCATGAAGGCCTGGATTTAATCATGCAAAAGAAGAGGAAGTGTGCAAAGTGATGATCCAATCAGATTCTTACCAGGGCTTCATTATCTTCTGCAATTTCTGATATCGTCTGTAAAATTTAAAAACTTCCACGTGAGGTGATATATTTTAAAACATGCATAACTCAGCTATTATAAATATATATATATATGTTTATGCATCTGAGGGACAGACATATAGTATAAAAAGCAGTAAATTACTATAATTTATTCAAAAAGGAAACAGTTCTATATCTGGTGATGGAAAAGGCTTCAGTTAATTCAAAACACTTTTTTAATGATCTGTCTCAAACGCTTGCTTCAATCTCCTTTGGAAAGGAAAGGTAACAGTTTCCAAGGTAAAGATAAGTTGCACATAGATTCCTGAATGATAAAGATACAAATCTAAACACCATTATTGTGGGTTCTTTCAGAGATATCTTCAACATTAAATACAAAGTTTACACATAAAATACCTCCTGCCTTGGCACTGCTATGAAATGAAAGCCACTGTAACAAAATCAAGGGCTTGTTGTTTTGGTTTTTTTTAATTCGGTCTCTACTTCAAATGACACTCAGGCAGAGAAGTAGCTGAAAGCTGCGGTGTAGTCACGAGCTCGTTGTACTGAGAACATGAACGGGGGGAAATTCTGTGACTCCTTTGAAATCAATGACAAATAGCCCATTGACTTCAAATTGGGATCAGAATTTTACCCTAGGTTTTTACCCTAGTTATAGGGACATGACTGGTCGTGTCTACGCAACTTCTTTAAACCACATGGTAGCCAGCTCCCCTGACACAAGGCTTTAGTGTAGCTGAGCCTTATTTTAAAAGAGGGTTCTGAACTCCCAGCTGGCTCTGTAGGTCCAAATTTCATACATCTAAATTCTTGACAAGATCCAGGATGTTGAATTAACCCATTTCAGAAAGCTGTGAAAAATGTATTTATGGAGTTCAGAATCCAACACTTGGACCCATCTTCACCTCTAACCTTTGGGATAAATCCCTCCCCTCCCTCCCCCACCCCCCAAACTTCCGAAAAACACTTGGTTCCTATTTGTGAGAGGAGGTTTATATACCACAGCCAAGGGGGTTTTATTTAGACATTTCCTGTTTTTCTGAGACATGCGGTACTGTGCATCATTAGTAAACCAGAAACTATGGCATCACATTACAATACTTAGGATGCTGACAGGCAAATATTAAGGGGGACTGGGGGGGAAAGATAATAAGAGCATTTCAAAACCATGGTCCACTAATCATGATTTGCAGATCATCATCCCACTAATGACCAGTTCCAGAACTGCTGATCATGTTAGTAAAAGAGGTAAAGAAGCTATGAATGATGACAGAGACATCCAAAACCAGACAAAATGAAATAAAAAGAAAACCTCATAGAATCCAGAGAACAAAAATCAGCCTTCTTCCCTGCACAGATACCTCATCCGACTGGCAAAAAGAACTCTTGATTTTGTAGTTCTCAGTAGCCTGTCTTTGTAATCCCTTCTATCCTCTTTTTGGGAGCACCTTTATTTATTTATTTGTAAAGATGCTGTTCCATGTTTGTATTTGGACGGATATACACTGTCCCACAGCCTAAATTACTCTAAGGTGCTTGGTTAGCCATTTCTGTTATCCTCACAAGGCATCTACAATTCATTCCAGGAGACAATTAAAAAAAAGCAAAGAAAAAGGAAGACAAATTCCATGTTAAAATGCAGTACCTATCCACACGGGGTCAAACTTTTACTTAGCCACCTGGCAGAAGAAATGCAGGGATGTCAGCTTAGGTCACTAGGGGTATTAACTGGGTTGGGATTGGAACAATGTTATCAGCTGCTTTGCCACCTATGCTGATGAATCCTAACATCCCAATTGCGTTTATCCAAATAGTATTCAGTTCCAAGTCTGTAATAATTCTGACACTTCAATGGAGTTAACTTTGATGATATATACAATGATAATGCACAACCTCTTCTCCTTTTATATCCTAATTTGGGAGCATACGCTACTCTTACATAAATAGTGCTTCTTGCCAGATATGTTCACTGTTGTACACACATCACTATATCCTATCATAAAGTCAGTATGTAAAACATAAGCATTCGTGTGCATGTCATGATGTTATATTTCTTCCAGGCAAGTTCCTCATTTTCAGTCATTGAAGCAAGGGATGTGAGGGGAAGTATAAAAAGTGAACTCATTCTTGAGACAGCTTGTGCCCCCATCCAAAGTCAGACAGGCATACTTCCTTCACTGAGACAACATTTATAATAGAGCTGCATTCTAGCGGAAGCATGGCCTTGTGGTTAAAACCCTGTACTGGAACTCAGATCCCAGCTCTGGAGACATCCTGTGTAGCTCTGCGCAGTTCCATTCACTTCCTTGGGGGTCACTTCTCCATTTATAAAATCTAGGTATTTATAACCCCCCATTACTATGGTATCTGAACACCTTCTGATTATTTAGAAACAAATGAAACAAATGCCCCTGTGATTTCTTCCCCACCATTTCATGCAAGAAATAGAGAAGGGTGGGTTGCGGGGGGGGGGGG